AGTAGTTTAATATATTAACCTCCACTATGTTCTAACATATAGATCTATGTTTCTTCCAACAGTAGTTTTAATATACTAACCTCCACTATGTTGTAACATATAGATCTATTTTTGATTAAGTTCTCTAGTTGCCACAAATTAGTATCTTACATTTTCTTCTGTCCTTGAAGCTGGACAAAATGGTTCCAGGATGCTCTTGTAAATGTCAAAGAGGGCAGTTAAGAAGAGATACAACAAGGCACAAACACACAGTTCCTAGCGATGACCACACTTTATCATAACTACGAAACTCTCAAGTTAGTTTTCCTGTGGCGAGAATTATATCAATTCACTGCTAATTCTTAGACACTTTTCTGTCTTCTTACACATTCGACACTTTCCCATCTTGAGCAGCAATGTAAGAAGCAATTGGAGAGGATGATGAGGATGCAACAGGATTGGACAGGTGAGTTCCAGGCCTAGCTTGCAGGTATACAGGAAAACCCTCCTTACAGGTGCTGAGAGAAGGTTTAGATTTGGGGCCAACTCTGGCTTGAGGTTGTCCATTATTGTGGCCTGGCATTTGTGAAATGTTGCTACTTAAGTTGGTAGACCCCGTGTTGTTGCTAGGGCCTGTGCTACTGTGCTGACTTCCATTGTGAGTGCTAGCAGAATGGGCTACGCTGAGGGTCCGAGCGTGCATTGCCTGCCACGAACACAGTCGAGCATGCAGCTCCCGGAAGGATGGTCTCCGTGACGGAATCTCGTGCCAGCATTCTACCATCATGGCGTACATGTGTGGTGGACACATTTCTGGACAGGGTAAGAGTTGTCTGGTGCGGATCATGTCGATTACCTCCTGGTTGTTGTAACCATAATATGGCTGAAGACCAAAGCTGAACACTTCCCACATCACAACTCCAAAGGACCACACATCGCTTTCCGTAGAAAACTTTCCATAAAGGATGGCTTCTGGAGGCATCCAACGGACTGGAAGCAATGACTTAGACTGAACTCTGTAATAATCTGAAGAATAGATGTCTCGAGAAAGACCAAAATCGGAAATCTTCACTGTAAGTCCTTCATCAACCAAACAGTTACGAGTGGCCAGATCCCGATGGACGTAATGATGGCCTGACAGAAATTCCATTCCACCTGCCACCTGGCGAGAAATATGGAGTAAATCTGGAAGCTCCAAAAGTTGTTGAGTTATTTTCTCTCCATTTATAGAAATGTCAGCGAGAGGGCAATGCGAGATTAAATATTCGTGAAGGTCACCTTTTGTCATGTATTCAAACAACATACATAATGGTTCTTCTTGAAAACAAACACCCAACAGACCCACAATGTTAGGGTGGTGAAGAGCTGACATCATTTCTGCTTCTCGCCGGAAGTCCTGCTGCGTTTTGAAAGTGGAATTTTCTTTGAGTGTCTTAATAGCTACCAAAGCAGCTGATCCAGGCCCGTGGATCCCTAGCAGTTCGCCTCTATAGACTTTGCCGAAGGCTCCTTCTCCTAATTGCTGGAGAAAATGAACAGAGGTCAGTGGAAACTCGGGAACTCTTAGCTTGGACTTTAACAGCAAAGAATTCATTTCCACTCTCTGGTTGTGGTCTTGTTGACTAGGAGGACAATCGGCCATCTTGGATAGTTTACTGGAAGCCGGAGGATGATTAGAACGTCGTTTCATACACCAAACACCAACAGCCAAGCCCAGAAATATCACAACAGCAGTTGTAGGGAAGAAGATATACAGCCACGTGTAGTCTGCTGTAATGAAACAATAAGATTTACTAAATATACCAAAATTTTACGTTTTTAGGTACGTCCCAGGAAAAACAACTTACTATAAAAATACAAGTTCAGTGGCGTGGGGAGCTGGGAGCACCCTCCCCCCTCCATTTTTCAATCTGCCCCAGTAAAAATGCATCAGACTTAGGAAAGTTACTCTCAGGAACATCAGGAGAATGCATACGCTTTAATCAAGAGTTCAGAAGCTTCCAGGGCCCTAAGGTAAGTCCTGGACCCCGGAGTAATGGGGGAATCTGTGGCCCACATTCCCTCGCTTCCCTCCGTCGTATAACCTTGCTCTCCCCCCCCCCCCACCACACACACTTTAAATTTGCCTCCTACACCTCTGAAGGTTTTCAACCTAACAGTATTATAACAAATATATTTCATGGTGTTCCAAATGATAGTTAATTTTAAAGGCACATTGAAAAATTACCAACTTGATTTATACCGCGGGGACAAATAGTACAACATTCAGTATAAATACTCTCACTAAAAAAATATATTCATTTTCTACGTAAAATACTCAGGGGCTTTGTTTTCCAGCTGACTGTGTGGCAGTCTGGCAGGTATCATGCATCCAAAACAACTGGCTGCTCCCGATTTGATCAGTTGGTTAATAGATCCGTGTGGAAGAAAGAGGCCTATAATATGAACAATACCATGTGGAAACATACGGCAAGAGTATACAGACGCCACTGACGCGCAAAAAAAAAAAGTGCCAAGTAGAAAAGTAGTACTCGAAGGAGTAATCCGCCCAGTACAAAAGTAACATTGCTTAGAAAAACCCCTAGCAGTAAGTAGTAAAGTTAACTACGACATTGAAAGATATCTTAGTTTACATTTTATATTCAGGAAAGTTTGTTATCTGCAATAGAAGTGATAGACAAAGAGGAAACGCAACGAGTCAACACCGCCAACTCTTGGGCTGTTCTTTACCAACGAACACTGGGACTGACCGTCACATTATAACGCTTCCACGGCTGAAAGGTCGAACATGCCCAACCTCGTCACGAGGGCTATCTGCGTTAGCTGTACCTAATTTAGCAGTGAAAGACTAGAGGCAAGGCAGCTAGTCATCACCACCCACCGCCAACTCTTAGGCTTCTCTTTTACCAAAAAATAGTGGGATTAACCGTCACATTATAACACCATTATGGTTGAAAAGGCGAGCATATTTGGTGGGACGGGGATTCCAACCTGCAGATTGCGAGTCGAGTGCCCTAACCACCTAGTGATGCCAGGCCATCCTCACAAATGATCAAGGGTTTTGTTTCTCCTCCAACTCCCCCTTTCAATGATACGAGATTGATTATTTGGTGAGATTAACGAACATTGTTCAAAGTAGATATTGTCTTGGTATGGTGCCTGAGAATGGTAGAAAACCCTATGTGTGAGGTTTTGAAACAATGGACCTTATTGAAACTTTCCTGAATAAAACTTGATATTCAACGTACTCCTGCTGAGGTTAGTTACCTCTAGGACAAACAGATATACTGATATGACAATCTAAGATGTGAGGGTTTCTTTGTAATCACCCTTTATTTTACTCGTGTTTTAACTATAAGAAGGATGGAGAATGATGGAACATTCTCTAAAAACATCAGATATTGATCAGTACAGAAACTCACCGAATATTCAACTATTATACTTTCAACCACCAGAGAACCTTGGTGTAGTTCACTTTGACACTAATAGATGGCACCACCATCTACAATAACTGCAATCAATTAAACTTGCTAGGTTTGTAAACGACATTAATGTAAATTTGATTGTCAAACAAAGCATGGAATGACGAGGATCGAATAGCTGTATAGAGTTCAGTCTGCCACCAACACAACTATCTACAGTAAGTCTTTTAACGCTCCAGAAAGAAAAATCAAACCACCTATTGTTCATTTATATTCTCTTACAGGTAAGGTTCTGTAAATTTGAACTTCATGCTATTAATACAGATTACTACAATTATTTCGCTATATTGAAAAACGCCCTCTCTTTGAAACCAAAACCTATTAAACTAGATTGACGAACTTACTAAGATACGAATTCAAAAACGCCCTTCAACTTGGAGACTAAAACCACCATATGACTTTCAAAAAAAAAAAAAAAGACTGTCATGGTTACTATGTATAAATTTACAAACCTGAAGTTGGGGTGATTTTGAATCCACAATTAATTTTATCATTTAAAAGTACATAACAACTCGTATTTCAAACAACGAACCGATACTTATTTAACAGAATTGTTTAAGTCAGAATTGAAACTTGCATCTCTAAATTTTGCATCACCGAAATAGTTTTCCTAATAGGATTAATCTCTGAATTATTATCAACTGTTCTCTCACTAAAAGAATCGTATATTCTCACTAATTGAATAACTGTAAATCAAGTGTTCCTATTTCTGGGATTATAAGCTGATCAAGCTAGTCTGTACCGAAGAAACTATGGTCTAATTCATATAATAGGTCTGACTTATAACCGAAAAAGTTACCATCAGTCGTGTCTGTTCGTAAGTTATTATAAAGGGGCATCTCTTAAAATTATTTCATGATACTTTAAGAGTGGGCGTGAAAGTGAGTAAGATTACAATGAGACTTGCTGGTAATAAAATCACGTGAGCACCTACGAGATTTCGACGAGAACTGCTTGTATTAACGATACGTAAGAACTTACCACATTTAGGAATATCACAAAGCTCCCTATGAGTCTCGGAATCTGCCGTGAAACACCAAGGTTGGTTCTCTGTCCCCCCTGGATTGCGACAGAAATTGTGGCCACCGGTCAACTCTGGGTAGTCTGATGACTGGTAGAAAATCTGATGACTCCAATGTTGGCAAGCGAGTCCAGAAGCTGTGTGAGCGCGTGTCCCTCGATAGTCCTCACCTTTACCAACGTAGCAAGTATGTTCTGAAATAAAAAAAAGATTTCTTTCAATCCTGCCAGATGTAATAGTTACTATAGAAATAGGCTTAGCTAAGATATTTGGATTTTTAAATCTGATGACTCCAATGTTGGCAAGCGAGTTCAGAATCTGTGTGAGCGCGTGTCCCTCGATAGTCCTCACCTTTACCAACGTAGCAAGTATGTTCTGAAATAAAAACAAGATTTCTTTCAATCCTGCCAGAAATGTAATAGCTACTATAGAAATAGGCTTAGCTAAGATATTTGGATTTTTTTGTTAAGTTCTTCAGTTTTTCCTTTCTTTCTAAGATGATAGGACTTATCGGACTGTTATTTCACTGTTTCCATTTCTGGTCGAATTCAAAGTGACTAAACGGTTAAAATTGTCCAACCTCACCATCATTGTCAATTTATACAAAATATTTTTTTTAGAAAGGTCTACTCCCCCCCCCCCCCCGATGGCTCCTCGGTAGGTATGAGATAGCCCATTATGCTTAATAATAGCAAACAAAGGTTTTCCAGTAGATTGAGTTTGAATGTAGTTTTTGTTTTTAATTCAACGTTTGCTTCGCTTCCCAAGTAGTTATAATACTGAAAAAATAATAGAAACCATCCAGCGTTAGTGATGTGAAAATCATTTAAATGATACGAGTAATGTCTAGCTTACAAGTACATAAATTAATACGTTATTTAATTAGGTGTTGGATTTTTCAGGGTTCTTTTCTTGCATATCCATCTATACCACAAACTACGAGTAGATTGTAGGTGGAGTAGGTGGTATCTATACCACAAACTACGAGTAGATTGTAGGTGGAGTAGGTGGTATCTATACCACAAACTACGATTACATTGTAGGTGGAGTAGGTGGTATCTATACCACAAACTACGAGTACATTGTAGGTGGAGTAGGTGGTACGCAAGGATTTACTTAGGAATTTATCGAACCTGCCTGACCTCGGCCGATATGTCGCCCACCTCTACCGTGCCGTACTCGTTGCAGGGATAGAACCTCGAATCTGTGCGCTATAAGCCCTAGCGCTTACCGCTGAGTATTCTGTAATAAATCTGTGCTGGGATTTCGAGAGACTTGACCTACCTTACAATCCGGGTACTTTTATAGGAGGTTAGCGTGTACTTTTCACTAACAAAATGTATTCGAAACTCATCTGCCAATAAGTAATGTATCATTGCATTATTAGACGTGGGAAGCAATGATCAAACTCAACCACTTTATATAACTCACCGGGAAGCAATGATCTAACTCAACCACTTTATATAACTCACCGGGAAGCAATGATCTAACTCAATCACTTTATATAACTCACCGGGAAGCAATGATCTAACTCAATCACTTTATATAACTCACCGGGAAGCAATGATCTAACTCAACCACTTTATATAACTCACCGGGAAGCAATGATCTAACTCAA